ATCTTAGCCTTTGTAGGAGATAAATACAAAGTATAGGTTATATTTTTTTTATGATATTTGTTTGACATATTTATTTTATAATTTTTTTAATCTCTATCTTAAAGATGCATTTATTTTTTTTTATGCTTTGAAAAATTGTATTTTTTATTATTAATAGTTATAAAAATAAAAATTAATTTCAATTTTACTAATTATCTAATTAAAAAATTCAGATAAATTATTATTAAAATAGAATTAATTTTCATTTTTTCAAACAAATTAATAAAAATATATAGTAAATATATATATATATATATATATATATAGTTTGAACTTAAAGAACTTTTAGAGATAACGAGTAGTGTCTAAGCATCGAACCAAAAACTTCACATCTTAATACTTTTCGGTAAGGGAAAGATCACTAAATGACCTAATGTTGAAGATAGTATCTATATTCTTAAAGGTTTGTAAACCCTTTATTTATTTTTCACGCTAAAATCTAGGGGCACTTTTGGGTGGGACCGTTCCAGTCGTTACTTAACTTAATAGCAAAAAGCCATGTATGTGTAACATGATCAGCTCAGAGTGACACGTGTCGATTCAGAATTGAACCGACATTAGTAATAATGAGACAAGAATGACAACCCTTGCCAAAAAGAGTCGTAGATGGACCCATGGTAGTTATGTGAGTTCTTTTTCATTACACACATTTCCTCCCATGCTACTCTTGGAGGGCAAGTCTTAACCTTTAAATTAAATTTCTGCATATAATCTAGTGAATTAATATCTCTATTCCACTTTAATAATTTTATTTTGATTTTTTAATTTTTTAAATATAAATTTTCATATAAAAACTTAGTATATTATATAAGTAATAATTAAAATTTTTTATCAAATAAAAATATGCAATAAAAATTATATATAAAAGAAAAAATTTTAATTGTTATTTATATAAATTGTTAAATTTTTTTTTTTTGAAATTCATATTTAAAAAATTTTAAAAATCAAAGTGAAACTAGTAAAATGAAACTGAGAAAGTATTTTTTTAAACACATCAAATATATTTGGTGGATATATCTTTACAGTTACTTAGATGAAGATTAATTTTAAAATGTGCTCAAATTGAATAAAAAATTTCATGA